ATTAAAGCAGTCACTGTCACCCCCAGTTTCTGTTCTTCTGTACAGCTGATCAGGATGGAAATCTTGATTGAAGGTGCTATTTGTGTTTTTTCTTTTGTTTACAAAATAGTGTATATACTGAGTGGAAAATTTATTCCAGGTCGAAGAACTATTTGTTATTTATAGTTTTAAGGAATAAGACATTAAAAAAAAAAAAATCTGTTTGCCTCACCATTCTAGTGATACCTAGACTAACTCTTAAAAAAAAAACAACCCTGAAACAGAAACTTAAAAGGGGAAAAACAGAGAAACCACTGTGAATAATCTTTAAAAAAGTGTCGTTAAAAAGTGAGTACATGTAGTGCTTCCTAATTCATTAACTTGGGCAAAAGCTCTAGATAAATTTATACCTATTACGACAAGTAGTTTTCTGTTCTTACTGTAGTTTTAAAACAAAGTCCACCCTGAAAGGTAGAGATTATTGAAAAGCTTTAGAAGGAATTTTAGTACCCCCCTCACCCAAAGTAAATCATAAATTTCCTTCCACTCTTTTAGCTGAGTTTGTGTATATTTTTAAGTAATTGTCAAGATCATGTGGTATAATCTTATATAATATGCTGATTGTTTAAATGACATTTTTCTGATTTTAAAACAATATACCCTCATTGTAGAATATTTGGGAATTGAACAAAGAAAAGCGTGTTACCACTGTTACATGTTTGATGTATTTCCATGCTTTTTCTTTTTAAGCTTTGAGGTTATTTTTTATATGTAGTAAAATTTGCCAATTTAAGTGTATAATTCAGCGAATTTTGTCAAATGTATAAAGTCATGTAATTGCTACCACCACAGTCTTGATCTAGAACATTCCCATCACGTAAGTTTCCCTTGTTCCCCTTTGCAGCCAGTCCCCTGCTTCTACTTCTACCCATTGGCAACCATAGATCTGATTTTTGTCACTAGTTTTGCCTTTTCTAGAATTTCCAATAAATGGAGAATCATATTTAGGCTTTTGTCTCCAGTTTCTTTTCCTTAATGCTTCAGAGATATTCATGTTCTTGCATATGTCCATAGTTAGTTGCTTTTTTATCATTTAGTTGTATTGCCTTGTATGGTTATACCACAGTTTGTTTATTCATTGACTAATTGATGGACCTTTGAGTTATTTTCAGTTTTTTTATTATAAATAAAGCTGCTATGAACGTGTATACGAGGCTGTGTGTAGATAATGGTTTTCATTTCTTTTGGGAAGAGATCTATGATTAAGATCATTGTATCATATGGTGAGTGTGTTTAACTTTATAAGAAACTGCCAAACTGATTTTCAAAGTGGGTGTGCTATTTTACATTCCCGCCAGCAACATTCCCACCAGGGGGGGTTCCAAGTGTTTCAAATCTTTGCCAGGACTTTGTATTTTTAGTTATTTGGTGTGGTTTTGTTTAATATCAGCCTTCAGTGGGTGGAGTCATAGACATTGTGGTTTTAATTTGTATTTATTTCTATAATGATTAGTCAGGAATACTACAGTTTCCTTTTTGTGGGGTAATGCTGGCCTCATAAAATGGGAAGTATGCCTCTTCAAGTTTCTGGACGAGGTTGTATAGAATTTATGTAAATTCCTTAAATGTTTGGAAGAATATTCCTGTGAAACCATTTGCACCTGGACATTTTTTTTTTTCAGAAGATTTTGGACAAATTCAATCTAGTAGTTATGGGACTAGTTAGAGCTTTGATACTTTGTGGTTTTCCATGAGTTGGCCCATTTTATCTAAGTTGTTGAATTTAGGAGTCCCAAGTTTTTTAAATAACCCCTTATCCTTTTAATGTCTAAGGAATCTAACGATAGCCCCTCTTTCATTCTTGACACTGGTAATTAGTCTTCTCTTTTTATTTAGTCTTGCTAAAAGGTGTCATCAGTTGTATTCATCTTTTCAAAGAACCCATTTTTTTTTTTTAAGATTTTATTTATTTAACAGAGACAGTGAGAGAGGGAACACAAGTAGGGGGAGTGGGAGAGGGAGAAGCAGGCTTATCGCCGAGCAGGGAGCCCAATGCGGGGCTCGATCCCAGGACCCTGGGACCATGACCTGAGCTGAAGGCAGACGCTTAATGACTGAGCCACCCAGGTGCCCCTCAAAGAACCCATTTTTTAACAGAGTTTTGTTTTTTAAAGATTTTAAGTAATCTCCACACCCAACCTGGAGCTCGAACCCACAATCCCAAGACCATGAGTCTCATGCCCCCCCACTGAGCAAGCCAGATGCCCCTAATTGAGTTTTCTGATTGTTGAGAATTAAGAGTTCTTTGTGTATTTTGGATGCCAACCCTTTATCAGATACTTGCTTTGCAAAATTTCCTCCTACTCTCTGGATTATCTTTTCATTCTTCCGTCTTTCACAGCGCAGATATTTTTGATTTTAACAAAGTTCAATTTATCATTTTCTTTTTCTTTCATATATCATGCTTTTGGTGTCGTCAAAAAAAGTCATTGCCAAACCCAAGGTCACCTAGATTTTCTGTGTTACCTTCTAGGAGTTTTATAGTTTTGTATTTTACATTTAGATCTAAGTTTCCAAGTATGTGGTTATTTTTGTTACTGATTTCTAACCTAAATGTAGTCATAGAACTCCGTGTAATTTCAGTCCTTTAAAATTTGTTGAAACTTGCTTTATGACCCAGGAAATGGCCAAATGTTTTAATATTCTGTGTGTTCTTGAAAAGAATGTATATGCTTAAATTGTTGCAGTGTCCTGTATATATTAAGCTGTTGTTCAGATCTTCCACACTTCCATAGATTTTTATCTACTTCTACACTTTAAAGCGTCATGTGCTATGATTTTGGATTTATTTCTTCTATTTCTCCCAAATTTTGTTTTATATATATTGAGACTATATTATTGGGAGGGAATAGATATATGGAATTGTTACATCTTCCTGGTTCAATAAACCTTCCATCATTATCTAGGCTCTCTCTATCCCTAGTCATACCTTTTATCTTAAGGACTATTTTGTCGAATATTGACATAGCTCCATGTATTGACTATTGTGATGTTCTGCCCAGATCTTCCCTCAGGACTGAAGGACGATTCCCTTAGCTGCCCCAAGTGCTGTCATATGACAGCCTTCACCTGTCAGCCCTCTGCAGGATTGTCCTCCACTGAAGAGAGCCACTTCACCCAAGGCCGTTTCCCCTCCCCGGGGACAGCCTGCATCCTGCGACCAGTCAGAGCAGGTTACAAAGGTCCCCTTGCCAATGCTCCCTCCGCTCTCCTCTGGGACTCCCAACTGAACCTCGGCATTCTCTCTATCTCTGCTCTACACGCTTCCTTGTGGCTGTATCTTTTAGCCTCTCTTCCAGTTCACCAGCTATCTAACCTGTTCAACCTAGTTCCGTAATTCCTAGTGCTGATTTGTTTTTCCTCTGTTGCTTCTTACAGTTGTTAGTACTGTATTGCATTTTAAAGTTTGGCTTTATCTAAAAATGGTGATGATGATTGTTTGATGTAGCTAATGATTTCAACATCTAGGGTCCCTGTAAGTATCTGTTTTTTTCTGTATCACTGATGCTGTGTCTCAAAATGTTTGCTAATTTGTGGAACCTTTTGAGAATTTGTGTTTGGAAATAATACAAGATAATGCTACCTTCCTTCACAGTAAGGTTTAACTTCTTTTTGTCCGGTCCGTAGTGTGCTAGAAGCCCAAAGGGCAAAGCTTGAGGTCCTCCAAGCTCATATCCTCACTCCAAAGCAAGCCCTTCGGGGATTCAATCCACAAGGGTGATCACCAGAGGCACTAAACTCTGCCCTGCAGTATTTAGTACTCATGTCCCCTCAAGTAGCTCTGGCTCTGCTGCTTTCTAAAGTCCAGGGAAAATGTAGCAGCAAAGAGGGGAATGTATCTTGCTAGTTCCAGAGAAGGTATGCTCATCTCCTTCCTCTTCCATCCTTACCTTGAGCAAAAATCCAACAAAGATTGGTGTTTCCTACCACATGGCTGTATTTTAGTAAATACAAGACACAGGGAAACAAAGTTATCTAGCATTTTAAGGTTTACAGTAGTGTTGAGGGCATAACTTTAAGATGACCCCCATTATTGCTGCACCTCCCGGCCGGCCCAGTATTACACCTGTGACTATGTTATATTGCATGGTAAAGGAATTTTGTGGATCTAATTAAGGTCACAAATCGGTTGATTTTGAGTTAATCATAAGGGTGATTATCCTGTAGGCCTAATGTAATTACATGAGTTCCTTAAAAGCAGAGTTTTCTCCAGCTGGTAGCATAAGATGGAGTCAGATTCCAAGTGTGAGAAAGATTCAACATGCCCCTGGTGCCTTGAAGATGAAGGAACCCATGGCAAGGAATATGAATAGGTTCAGGAAGCTGTGAGCACCCCCACACCCCTGGCGGCCAGTAAGGAAGCAGAGACGTTGGTCCCACAACCACAAGGACCTGAATTCTGACAACAACAGGTGTGAGCATGAAAGAAGATACCATGCTCTGGCTGAGCAAGCAGCCAGCTAACACCTTGGTGTCAGCCTTATGAGACCGAGACTCTAAGCAGAGAACCCACTGCGCCATATTGGCCTTCTTCACCCAGAACTGTGAGATAACAAATGGATGTTGGTTTAAGCCATTAAGTTTGTGGTAATTTGTTAGGCAGTAAGAGAAAACTAACACGGGAGTTTTTGCCCTCCACCAAGATTCACAAGGTGGTGGAATTTCACAAGCACAAAGGTTCGGATACTACAGTTAGGGAACCACCAACTATTTAAGATAAGCTCTTCTGTCGTGCAGTTCTGTGGAAACTATAAGAAACATCAGGGCCCAGCTCTTAAAATTGCTCCAGCTCTCTAGGGCAGCTGATGCCAGCATGTACCCAACAAGGAAAGATCAGCGCCCTTTAACATTAGCTGTAGATCCCTTCTGAGGAGAACTCCGAGTTGACCAAAAATTCAGCAAATTATATACTTAAATGAATACACGCTATAGTGAATTAAATCACACAAATACAAAAGAGCAAGTATATACAAAAATCTTTATAAATTCACTTCACCAAAAGTATACAAGCAGTATCAATTTGTTGGGACAAAAAGGAGTATTTTTGTTCTCCACAGGTCACTGAAGTCATTACACAGTTCTGAGAAGCTATTCGTAGAAACTGTCCTATAAAAATGAAAATGCACGGTGGAAATGAAACTATGTTACACACCCGCTGTATAACAACATGACCCGCTAACAGTACTAACCTGCTTGCTAAACGAGGCTTTGATTTATAAAATGCATGTATTTCCCAGACTTTAACGTCTCTACTTATAAATTAATTCACAGGATTCATACAATTGCTTTTTAGCTTCAAATGGATATTAGCAAAAATAACACAAAATGATCCCTTTGCAAGCAACACATTTATGTTCCTTCCTAAATGCAAACATCACATGAGATTAGATTACAATTTCTTAACCTCTCCTCTAAAAGGCCTGTGACATGAAAGAGGAGATCAACGCCTTGTTTTACCAACCTGGAGAAATCTCCTGCTGCGTCCACTGCTATTACTTCATTGACTGGCCCAAAGCTCAAGGAATTCAGGGCCTGGCATGTCTTTGACACCCAGAAATGTCTGCCTAAGTCAAGGGGAGTGAGCCAGGGACGAGAAGGCCCCGGGTGTACCACAGTGGCTCACAGCTGAGTTGGCAGGATGCAGGGTGTGTGAGGTAAGCATACTTAGCTCCCACCCTGGGCTTCGGCTTTGCTCACTTCGCTCAGGATTTGGTACCTGGTTGGCAGGCAGTAGGTGGGACATGTCACACACAGATCTGAGTCCTTGAATAATGCACGCTTTGCCAGGTCTTACCCCTCTATCGAAGAAGACGGAATAGAGAGGAACCTAGCTGCCAGTACAAATCATTTCCCCCCCTCTGTCTTCCAAACCCACATTCCCTCTCTATGAAACGAACTACTTAAAATCCTTTCTCCTTGCCCCAGGGGAAGAAATGAAGTTCTGCAGGCACCCAGGGTTAAGAGATCCTCCAAATCCAGCAAGCAAGACCTTCAGTATATATCAAATGGATTCCCGCTAAGACCAAAATGTTATGTTTCGGTTAGGTGCCATGCTGGCATCTTGATACCAAGGCAGGGCCTAATTTTACCTTGAGAGTGTGTTTCAGCCAATTTCCTGTTTAGAAACAGGAGTAGGAATAGTCGAAAATCTTTATTAAAGAAATTATAAGAGGCGAGATTATTAAAGGCAAAGCAGCCTCATGTCAGTTTATCAGCTCATTTGGGAACATTAATCCTATGTTCAGGATGTTTTCACTTATGTGAACCACCTAAATTCCATCTTATTTGAGTAGCCTGAGTAGGGTTTTATTAGGCTCTACTTATCGGAGACCAATATCGGGTCAGTTGGGTTTAAAAAGAAAATCTCTGAAGTAAGTGTCTCTCCTACTAATGAGGAAAGAGGTGGCAAAAATTCAAGTGTCAATTTCCCTTTCCTGGGAAGAGGTTTAGAATAACTCAGCAGCTCCCCTTTTGAGCTCTACCAGTTCCTTGTGAAATGCTCAAAGCATTAGAATCAGACCTAAAATGTAAGAGGCAGAAAAAATATTTACAAAACCGGGCATTCCTTAAACACAGAGACTCTTGCCAAGACCGGGGGAACCATACAGAGGAGAGGTTAAAAGGAGGGACAGTAAGATTCTTGGCGAAGTAGGAAAGAGAAAACCAGGGTACAGGCCCCAACATCCATTTTCCGTGCCCGAAAAGGGTGAGCCTGGCCGGCGCTTCGGCAGACTCTCCGCGGGCCTCAAGAAGGCTGCAGGGGGACCGTGTGCTCACACTGAGCCTTTCGAACTCGCTGTACCCGGTAGCTGTTCTGCCGAGAGAGCAGAACCAGCTGGCAAGCGTAAGGGCAAAGCGCTGTCACTCTGCCGATGAATCAGGCTGTGTTAAAATGAACAACAAACCCGGCCCAGAACCAACCAGCCGGCCAGGATGTCGTGCAAATCTCGCGGTCGTGGAAGGCCATTGGGGCCGGGGGGGGGGGGGCGGGGCGGGGGGGCGGCTACACGTTGGTTTCCAGTCCTAGCAAGCGTCCCATTCTCTCCACGTTCTTGTCAATTGTAGCCTGACAGGTTATCTCCTTGGCACATTCCATAGGAAACCAGCCCCTCTCTCCGTCTCGCAGCCGTTCCCCCTCATACCAGCCTGCAAACGAGAGCAGAGTCCTCCTGAGGCAACAGGGGTGTGGAGGAACCGGGACCCTGCCTGGCTCCGGGGAGGATGTCAGCGAGCTTCAGAGGCAGCATCCCACCCCAGCTTGTGCGTGACGGATGAGGGAAGGCAAGGAGACACGGGAACAGCAGGAAGGGCCTCAAGAAGGAATGGATGACACAGAGGAGGTGGGACACCAACTGGGGCCCTGAAGGGAGAAGGCTCAAAAGAGCCCGGGCGTTGGGCCAGGCTGGGGGAGGGGATGCTGTGCACAGACAGAGGCATCAGGAAACTGATTTTTTTTTTTTTAAGTAAAGAAGGAAGAACCTCTGAAGATTAGCACTAAGTCACTGGGGCACTAGGAAGGAAGGGAAACTATTCAAGGTTGTTTTTGAATAATATACCATCTGATTGCATTCTTATTCAAAAACATTAAAAGCAATAGTGTTGACAGAGGAAAGGCAGGTGCATATGAAAAAACCAAAGGGATATGGAGGATGAGCACTAAAAACAAAATGAAGCTCCTCCGTTCTATGGCGCCCCGAAGGCTGCACCGGGCGCGCCCCTGAAAACCCCCACTCACCATCGCTGACCCGCTGATAGATGAGAACCACATCCGCCACCTGCAGGGACAGTTCATCTGGCTGCTTGGCAGTGAACGATCTAATGATTTCCACCTGGGTCAGTGCTGCGAGGGACAGGGGGGCACACACTGAGCTCCCGGTAGCAGAGGAGAACAGAACAGGTACAAATCAAATACATTTACTCGGTCTTTCTGTGCAATTCAAGGCCGGCATTGACAGAAACAAGTTAAGCGTCTATCAAGCAGAAACTCTGTTCCAGGAACTGTCTTATTTGGCTAAGAGCTTTAGAACTTTAGAAGCTCAGGATCCAGAGAGGCCTTTTGTGATGCACGAATCCCCTCAAAAACAGCCGTGACAAGCTATACACAATAGAGCAAACAACAGCCATTGTGCATTGGGGAAACTGAGGCCAGACAGAGCGGGTAACATCCTCAGTGCACCCATTCTCCCCACTCCCATCCAGGGGGCCTCCCCAGCCCGCTGGCACACGAAAGCTGCCAAAGACGTTCAGAAATAAAAGGAGCTCCAACCAAAAGTTAGACAACATTTTAGAGTTGCCCCAAAATGCTGAATCATAACAAAAGGATTATAACTTCAGTGACTTGGTACTGACTGACTTGAGTTCCTAATTTGTTTTTTAATAATATAGAACTTGATTCTAGGAAACTTTCAAACCAATCACTTTAGCTTTGGCTCCAAGCTTAAAGCTATGATTTTTGAGTACTCCAAGATAACCAATTTTGCTGCCCTGGTTCTTTCGATTTGACCTTCCAGCTAGAAATACCCAGAGAAGCCTAACATCAAAGTTAAGGGGCTAATAAGCACAGGACACCACCCTTTACTGCACCATTCCTAATGCCCTAGGAGAATAAAATACATTTTCTTCATATTATCATTTTAATAAATAAGGTCAAAAGGAATGGTAAAGTAATCTTCTTTAAGGTTAAAAAATAACATTTCAGGGGCGCCTGGGTGGCTCAGTCATTGGGCGTCTGTCTGCCTTAGGCTCAGGTCATGGTCCCGGGGTCCTGGGATCGAGCCCCACATCGGGCTCCCTGCTCCGCGGGAAGCCTGCTTCTCCCTCTCCCACTCCCCCTGCTTGTGTTCCCTCTCTCGCTGTGTCTCTCTCTGTCAAATCAATAAATGAAATCTTTTTAAAAAAAAATAACATTTCAGCTGAGATTCACACTGTCCGTATGGAAAAGGTTTAAACATGCAACTCTTGCCCATTAGCAACAGCTGAAAATCTAAGAGCTTTACAGGACAAGCAGGGCTTTCAACACAGGCTGTTTAAGTTAATCCTGACAATAACCCCATATTGTATATAATGATGCAGCTGACTTACAGATGATTAAACAGGCTCAGGAAGGCTTTGCAATGATTTGCCACGTTTACACGACAAAGAACTGCACCTTGGATTTGAATCCAGAGCCCCTGGCTTCCAAAGCAGGGATCACAGGGTTCTGTGATGCAGGGCGACGGGAACGAACGCTTGGACAAGAAACACACGGAGCAGGGATTGTGGTGGATAACCATTAACAACCTAGCATCCAGCAGGGGGCATAGCCCCTCCACGGTCCAGCGCCGGCCGCCCTCCAGGTACTTACAGGTTCGGTCCAGAGGTTGCTTCCCACTGCTGTGTCCCAGGGCGGTTATCCAGCGGGCCCGTTCACTCCTAAACACAGAGGGCAAATCCAACTGAGAGATTCAAGGTGCTGGGACAAAGCATGCAAAGCCGTTCCCAGAAAATGGACGAGATTCCCTGGAGAGTTAGGGGGCTGGCCTTTTAGAAGAGGGGGGTATGAGTTATTTGAAAAAGATAATCTGGGGAATCTACGCTGAACGCTAAATTATTCCCAGATGGGAATGAATTTGGCTAATTATTGATTAAATGGAATTTCTCACAGGACAGTTTAACCTTTAATAAAGAGCTGATTACACCAACACATAATCACATAAAGATATTTAGTATACTCAATCTGATTTAACATTTCAAAAAAGCAAATTTCATTTTAAAAAATTCGAGTACAGGGGCGCCTGGGTGGCTCAGTTGGTTAAGCGACTGCCTTCGGCTCAGGTCATGATCCTGGAGTCCCGGGATCGAGTCCCGCATCGGGCTCCCCGCTCAGCGGGGAGTCTGCTTCTCCCTCTGACCCTCCCCCATCTCATGCTCTCTCTCTCATTCTCTCTCTCAAATAAATAAAATCTTTGAAAAAAAAAAATTCGAGTACATCAGTCTCTCTACATTCTCTCTTCCTCCCCCTACACTCAAACCATTTCAGAAAAGATGAATCTAGACATATTTCAAGTTGTTTAGTTCCTCTTACAGCTGAGATTGCCAAACATGAGCCTTACTGAAATAAACAGAAATTCTTTGAACTTTCTCAGACTGTTCCCAAATGATTAAAAGGACTTAATGAACAGAGCCAAAAAATATTTTAAGGAAAAACACAACTGAGACTTTTTAAATAATATTAAGCTATAATTACATGAAACAGAATAATTATTTAACTAAAGGATCAGAAGTCTCAGATAAGCATTATTCCATAATACAGTTATCCCCAGTTTTTGATTTGGAAAGTCAAGTATCAGGATTGCAATTAATTAAATAAGGCACACACACACACACACACACACACTTTAAAATCTCCTAAGGAGCACTGATTAAGCCCAGACTACAGGGGCGCCTTCAGCTCAGGTCATGATCCCAGAGTCCTGGGATGGAGTCCCACATCGGGCTCTCTGCTCAGCAAGGAGTCTGTTTCACCCTCTCCCTCTGCCCTACCCTCGCTCATATTCTAATAAATAAAATCTTAAAAATAAATAAATAAATCCATACTACATGGCAGATACAAGCACTTGACATCCATTATTTCATGTCATTCTCCAAAAGCCCATTTAAAGGATGAGAAGGTTGCATGGAGGTCCTGAGGCAAGCTATCCAAACCAAGGTAAGTTTTGACTCTGCACTCCGCCTACTTAGGAAGGGACACCTTTATGCCCAGTGCTTGAAAAAAATTTTTCTTCTCCTGTAACAGCCTTTACCTAAAGGTGCTTCTCGCTGTTGCCCCATCTTCACCACCCCTCAGGTATCCTTCCATCTGGGCAAAGCAGACTGCTTGCCGGCCTGGGGCATGCCACGCTGTTCCACACCCTTCCCCGCCTGCTCTTCTCGCTCTCAAGTAGGACCTTCCCTCTGTTTCTACCCATTATGCTCGCTCACTCATCAACGAAGAACATACATAAAACACTGCGCTGATCTTAAGGGTATACAGAGGTGTGAGTGGTTTCATAGGTACACCCAACACCTTCCGTCCCTTTCCCGTCAATAACCGCCCACAAAGGGAACCACCACCACCTGTCTTATGCTTTATGAAAATGGAATCCTATGGTATGTCCACTTTTGTTCAGCACGTCCACTCAATTCTGAAAACACAAGCCTCACCTCCTCCAGGGGGCCTCCCCGGATGTGGGAGCCCACACCCCCATCCCCAACCAGTCTGACGGTCCTGCTCCCATGCACCCCTCTGCACAGCACTATCCCATTGCTGGCCGGCTGTAAGCCTGTGTTATCTCCAACACTGCCCGGCACGTAACGGAGGCCTGCAACCATGTGTCAACCTAAGGAATCGCACTGCCCCTCATGTCCTCACTCGTCTGTTTCTCCCACTAGGCCATAAACTTCAGGAGCGCGGGACCTGGGTCTTGTTCTAAATAGTTATGGAGCACTTACGCGCCAGCTACGGTGCTTTTTTGTATTTTTCAAGTGCCATCGAATTTAATCTTTACAACAATCTTGGAAATTAAATAGTAACATTATTATTTCCATTGTTTTGTTCAGGGAACGAAGCTGAAGTTTGGAGGGTTAATTAAGCAGCTGCTCCCGGTGGCAGGGCTAAGTGGTGGAGTCAGCAGATAAGCCAGGTAGTCTGCGGCCTAAAAGGCGGCGCTCCCTAGCAGGTGCTCACAAAATAACGAGGGAGGTCAGGGAGGGCGGAAACCGCAGTGTGCGGAAAGACAGACTTACTTCGGAAATCGAGGCTGGGCCCCAGGCACGCGGAGTGTCAAGGAGTAAGTCGTGTGCACAGCTGACGTACACACGGATGGCACTGCCTGCTTTTAAAAACTCGACTACAGGGGCGCCTGGGTGGCTCAGTCGTTAAGCGTCTGCCTTCAGCTCAGGTCATGGTCCCAGGGTCCTGGGATCGAGCCCCGCATCGGGCTCCCTGCTCCGCGGGAAGCCTGCTTCTCCCTCTCCCACTCCCCCTGCTTGTGTTCCCTCTCTCGCTGTATCTCTCTCTGTCAAAAAAAAAAAAAAAAAAAAAAACTCGACTACAGGACACAGGGCTGTAGGGCGGTTTATAAGGAGCGAGTACTTTATACAAAGCACAGCCTCCTTTAAATGATCCTAAGCGAACACTTAAATCTTTTTTTTTTTTTTTTTAGATTTTATTTATTTATTTGACAGAGAGAGACACAGCGAGAGAGGGAACACAAGCAGGGGGAGTGGGAGAGGGAGAAGCAGGCTCCCCGCGGAGCAGGGAGCCCGACTCGGGGCTCGATCCCAGGACCGTGGGATCATGACCTGAGCCGAAGGCAGACACTTAACAACGGAGCCACCCAGGCGCCCCACACTTAAATCTTTGACATCATCTCTTCATCGGATAAGATCTATTTTTTTCTCGGGCTCACGTGGCATTTCCAAAGCACGAAGGCAGCTGAGCACTAAGTAAGACCTGACAGATGGAAGCACCGCTCTGCAAGAGAAACCCACGAGGCCCGTGTGCGCCCCCATGCGCCACAGCCAACCACGGCGGACTCCCCCTCGCCTCCCCGCGCATCTCCGCGGGGCCCTCACCGCCATCCGCCGCCCTTCGCGTCACTTCTCAGGCACAGCCCGCCTCTGGCATCCGGTGGCCCGTTTCAGGGACGGCCTGACCCTGCAGCCAGCTTCCAGAAGTCCGGATGAAACCTCTCACCCCCGACGCCCGCTGCCTGGATGCTAATGGCGTCCCTTGGACACGGCGGCCCCTCACGGAGCCTCAAGAGGACAGAACAAGACACTCCTTGCTGCCCTCACGGAAAGGAGCCGCTTCTTGAAATGGCTCCACTGAGCCGGTCCCCCGCCCGCGTCAAAACCGCACAACTCCACCCACCACCACCCCGGGGGGCCTCCGAGAGCCCTGCCAAGGAGCTCCTTCCCACTATGAAGCAGAAGGCACTGCATCCATCCCCGAAGCAGGGAGGAGACTCCCTCAACAGAAGAGGGAATTCTAAGAACAAGAAAAACCCGGGCATAGACATACCCGTTATTAAACTGCGCTAGCAAGTGCGGGACTCCCTGGAAGACAGCGCTTTTCTCCGGGGACAGCAGGAAACAACCGACGTGAATTCACAGTCCGCCCCACCCCAGTTCATAGACTTTTCCCTTTGCCCAAATAAAGCGAGAGAATGAGGAACAGTGCCGCTTCCGTGGACCACCGTCCACCGAGCACCCCCTGCCTCTGCACGAGCCCTGTGTTAGGACGGGGTTGCAAAGTGAATAGAACAGGGTCTCTTGCTCTCTGCAGCCTCCAGCGTGAAGGAGCAGAGAGGGGAGAAAACAAACACAAAATCCAACACAGCATGCAACGGGCTACCTGCGGTAGAACATTCTACTTAAAACACCTGGCACCCGGGGAGAGCCAGAGGACTGAGACATTTAACATAAGTATCTGCACGTGAGCCCTCTCCTGAGCCCCACGTTCTCCACTCACGACATAAAATTACGCACCCCCAGTTCCCTCCTCAGGAGTCAACTGCGGTCGCACCAGGGCTTGCCTCTTATGCAATTAAGCACAGTAGGCTTAAGCTTAATTGCACAAAAAAGACACAAAGCTGGACTTCTCACTGAATACCAGGCATCTGCTAGAAAAGAAATGCGTACTGAGAGGGCGGAGAGTGGGCTCTGAAACGAAGATGCAGGGCCACAGACAGACTGGATACTGAAGAGCCTGGGGAGCATCCATGGAGGACTTCACCACCCAAGCGGTCTTCCTGAGCTTTCAACAGGAGCCAGCAGACGGCGACTCTTTTTTTTTTTATTTTCCCAAGATTTTATTTATTTATTTGAGAGAGAGCGAAAGCGATCACAGAGGGAGAGGGATGACAAAGGAAGAGGGTGAAGGGAGAAGCAGACTTGCTGCTGAGCAGGGAGCCCGATGAGGGACTCGATCCCAGGACCCCAGGATCATGACCTGAGCCGAAGGCAGACGCCCAACAACTGAGCCACCCAGGTGCCCCAGATGGTGGCTCTCTAACCTCCCTTGCAGCTCCCTTCCAGTGGCAGCCGGCCAACTACCTTCTGTGTTCCTTCCCACAGTCTACAAATTTACCTACGGTTCCTTTTTGAAACTTCTGTACCCATGGCCTTTGGGCAAAAGTCCTTCGAGCCTCTGTGAAGCCTGGGATTGTGAGCATGGTGGTGATTTGGGTTCGTTCCCTCACACATTCAGTTCAACCAGATGAGCTGAATGAACAGATCCATGAAAGAAAACCCAAAGGGTGAAAATGATGCTATGCAACAATATTTAACAAAGCTGGACACACACTCAACTCAACGAATTAAAAAAAAAAAAATCGAACCAAAGCAAAATAATTCCTGAGGCCCATGACAAGAGTTCTAAGATTAAGATT